CAGTTTGTGTCTGAAAGTTACTTCTTTGCATGATCTACACATTCATGTATAGAGTTTCAAATTGATTACTTCCTTCCTTTCTTTGGAAGATTCTCTCATCTCTTTTTTTGTATCAGATGGAGTAGTAGAAAGCCAAAAACTTTCTTTCCCAAAAAATTAATCACTCCTAAAAATATAACCCCTTCAATTCGAGTATTCGAAGTATTGAGAATTCAATTCATCCACATTTGGTACCTCATGATTATTTCGAATTATCATTTTCCTTAAAATGGTTTAAAAAACCACCGAAAGAGTATCTATAATTGAACTTTATTATCAAAATGGAAGGTGCACTAATATTACAGCACAGTTGTTCAATGACAGAAATCTTAATAAACGTCTTAACCGAAAGTACGTGATTGAACTTATAACCAACTTTAGAGAATCAGGGTCAGTGGCAAGTTGAAAAAGGAACTTCTCAACTGAAATAATAGGAAACGAAGCTATGGATGCTGCTGTGTTAGTACCAAGTTATGAATGTTTGTTGTGGATTGAGAAAATTTACATTTTTTGAAACTCAGAAAACAAAGTAGATCATTCAAATTTCAATTTACATTAAAAAAAAAGCCGATGATGGCCAATTGATGAACCTGAAAAGATTTTACGAGATCTTCTCCATCTCTCTTTTTTATTTCCTATGTTCCCGAGGACGGATGACACAGATCCACAGAATGTAGTTCCTTCAGAAAAGAACAATTGAGCGCGAGAATCAGGCCTTTAAGTGCTAGCACCGTGTAGAAGTTTACTTCTATACGGTGGTGATAGTGACTGATCAGAAATTGAGGTACGTCTAAAAATAAATGTTGTATAGTCATTGTCGTAAAACCGTTTTCGAAGCGTTACAAGTTGAATGATTTTTTGGAAACCCATAGTGACTGCTCATCAGAAAAAAATTTGCAAGTAGCAGTCTACTTCTCAAAATGAGCTGGATGGGTGCTCATCGATGGTAACTTAGAGAAGATGAGTTCAGTGAAAGAAAAAACGCACATTTTTTCATCTGAAAAGGCCCATTCCTATGACACTCTCTAAAAACGACCCGATGAGCTGCATTTTTCATTAGACTTGTCGTTCTGAGGATAAATACGGGAAAATTGTTATATAATGTCAATGTCTGAATGCAACCCTCTTGCCGTCTCCCAGGAATGTGTGCCCACCTTCGAGTGCAGCCGGACATAAACTTCATTATAGGAAACACGTGGTGTGGCGGTCGTCTGCACACGTCGATATGGCTATGACAGGTTATCATAGTTGGTTAAATTTAATATACACGGAGCCGGCCTCCGCACACACATTCAAGTCCGAAAATTGAGTTTCGCCACCGGAAAATGTAAATGTGTGTGTTTGCGTAAGCTGCTCGAGTCATGTACCCGTCACTTTTTCTCACGATCCCTGCGGGTAGGGGGTGGCGGTATATGTTCGCGTTTGTGCGCTCTGGAAATGAGGGTTGGCCCGGGGATATGGATAGCTGTCTCAATAAGTCGATAAACTGTCTCTGAGACCTTTTTAATGATTATCTTTGTTCTTTCTTTATTTATTTAAATATATCCCATTGAATTCTCCTCAATTTACCCACGATTATGAGTGCCTAATATGGGAGAAATCGACCAATGAGTATTTTTCTCTTTCCTATCTCTACTCACAATTTACCTCTATATATCATCATCCATGAACGATTAGACAATTTTCCTAGTATTGATTTTTCTTATGAAACTTCAGCTTCTTCAGGTGAACTGGTATATCAAAACATTCCTCAATACATTTCATTCAACTACTACGTTTTCCTGACCAATTTCTTTTATTTGGTAGGTCTTCCTCGGAAATTCGGTATATATTAATTTATCAAAAAAAGTACTAACACCATATATTTTCTTAATATCACTTTGAAATATAATTACATGGAGAAATTGAGACTGATATCTGGTCACAACGCTATTCAATCTTGGAATCGAAAGCACGTACTTATTATGACAAAATATACCAACAAAACCTGAGTTCAGTCAAAACAATATTGAAAATAAATTTATATCGTCGATATGTGATGGAATTGGCCGA